ATGCAGTACTCACAGATAAATTTAATGAAGTTTACACAAAACTTCTGCACTAAAACTCCTGGAGAACATTGCTGAGAAAAATTAAAATGGAAAAATATTATAGTGTATTCATCAATTGGAAGACTCAACATTATTAAAATGTTAATTCCCAAATTGACTTATGGATTCAGTGCAGTTCCAGTCAAAATCCCAGCAAGCTGTTTAGAAGAAACTGAGAAGCTCATACTAAAGCTTGAGCTAGAATACAGAAACAGAAGGGACCTAGAATAGCCCAAATAATCTTCTAAAGGAACCAAGATAGAGGACTTATATTACCTGACTTCAAGACTTCCTGGGCAAATGAATAAATACAACAGATAAGAGACCAGAAATAGACCACACACAAGAGGACATAATTTTTAACAAGGGTGTCAAAGCAATTCAGCGAGGAAAAGGAAATCTTTTCAGTAAATGGTGCTGGAACAACTATATATCCATGTGTGTGTGTGTGGGGGGGGAACAAGCCACAACTCCTGTCTCCCACCATACATGAAACTAATTTGATTCAGATTTTAGACCTATGTTTTAACTAAAATGTTAAAGTTTCTAAAAAAGCATAGGAGAATATCTTCCATCATGGGTTAAGCCAGGATTTCTTTATAGAAAAGACGTAGTGCTACCAGTAAAAAAAAAAAAGACTTCATCAAAATGAAAACTCCTTATCAAAGACATCTTTATGAAAATGAATAGACAAGCCACAGTCTGGAAAATATTTGCAGCACATTTATCTGATAAGGGAATTGTATCTAGTAAAGAGCTTTTAGAACTCAGTAATAAAAGACAACGGTTTGGCCAATTAAAACAATAGGGCAAAAGCCTTGAACAGTCACTTCACAAAGGAATACACAAACACACACACATAAATACTTGGGAAAAGTGCTCAGCATTATTAGTCATCAGAGAAATGAAAATTAAAACCACAATGAGAGGACCTTACATACCCAGTAGAATGGGATACTGAAATTACATAAATGAAATAGACTAACACCATCAGTGTCCGGGAACACCAGTTGGAGTGTAACATGGTACCATAACTTTGAAAAATGGTTTTGGCAGTTTCTTTTAAAGTTAAACATATATTTACCCTGTGTCTTAATAATTTCATTCTTAGGTATCTAAGAAAAATGAAAATATGTATTTACAAAAAAAATGCAATAAAGAATGTAATAATGAATGTCATAAAGTTTTATTCATAATAACTCCAAACTGGAAACAGTGCAAATGTCCAGCACCAGGAGAATGAATAAGCAAAGTGAGGTATATTCATACTATGGAACTCAACAATTAAAAGGAACAAATTACGGATATAAGCAAGAATGTGGATAAAACACGTTGAGCAAAAGAAACCAGAAACAAAAGAGTACAGACTTTATGATTCCGCTTATATGCACATTACTAAGTTATGATGATAGAAATCAGAACAGTGGTTGCTTCTCTGGGGGAGGATT